TCGTGGCTCCGCCCGTGCTCCGCGACTTTTTGGTCGACCACCTGAAAGGCGGGGGAGCTCGAGGGTCCCGAAAGGGGTTTAGGTTTAGGGTTTAGGGTTTAGGGTTTAGGGTCCTGGGTTTAGGGTTTAGGGTTTAGGGGTTTGGGGTTTAGGGTTTAGGGTTCTGGGTTTAGGGTTTAGGGTTTAGGGTTTAGGGTTTTAGGGCTTAGGGTTCTAGGTTTAGGGTTTGGGGGAAGAGTTTTAGGGCTTGGGTTTGGGGCAAGGGATTTAGAGTTTAGGCTCTGAATCCTCAGCGATGCAACTCTCCTCTGAGCACCGCACCGAAATCTGGAGAAATTTTCGGGTTTAGGGTTTAGGGTTTAGGGTTCTGGGTTTAGGGGTTATGACAATGCTTTCTGGACAATGCTTTGTGAAAGCTACTCTCTAAAACCCTTAGCTTCAAGCAGCGGCAACCCTAAGTTTCTTGTGCCGCCATCCAAAAAACTCTCAGGCACCTAAGCTGAGGCCGATGCCCAAACCCTAAACCGCTTTAAATCAGCCTTCAGCCCTCAAATCTCGAAGTCCATGCTGTAGATCCCTATTACGGTCACTAAAACCAGGTTCCTTAACCCTAAACCCCTCAAAGGAACCCTCAAAAGGAACCCTAAACCCTAAACAATAAACCCTAAACCCCAAACCCTTAACCCTAAACCCTAAACCCTAAACCGAAAGGGAGCCTCCAGAAGCATGGACCTGGTGCAGACCGGTCTGCCATGGGTGGTGTCGCTGTACAGCACATGCCTGGCTCTGCGGTTTTGGGGGCCTTTGGGCTGACACGGTTTAGGGCTTCCGGGCTGCAGGGTTTAGGGTTTAGGGTTTCAGGGTTTTGGGGTTTAGGGTTTAGGGTTTCAGGGTTTCGAACTTGGTTAAACACCGACTCCTACAGTGTCAACCCCGAAGCCGCGTAAGACTTTAAAGTTGCCGTTCCCACAATGCAGCTCCTCTACTGCACTCCAGACCTCAGGCCTCGATATCTGTATATAATGAAATATATATATATATATATATATACATATACATATATATATATATAACAACATATATATATATATTCTATATAGTATCTATATGCCTATATATATATACGCATTTTCTTTATAGTACTTATATACCTGTATATATATATATATATATATCTAAGTATATGTACGTACAGTGTGCCGGGAATTTCGAACAATTAGTAGAGCCAGATTGCCAAACAATCTTGTAATCCTGCCCCACTTGGGAGGGGTAGCAAGATTGCCCGCAAGCTTACTCCAGCTTTAGTCAACAATGGTAAAGTAGTCGGCGAACGAGTTTGGCCCCACTCGCTCGCCGACTAGTTTACCATTGACCAAGACTGAGCAAGCTTGGCGGCAATCTTGCTACCCCCCAAGTGGGGCAAGCGGAGCAAGATTGCAGGATCTTTCCTAAAACCATTGTTCTGAATTCCCGGCACAACGTATATGTATATGTACATGTACTTGTATTTTCTGTACATGTATGCCTAGGAACAAGCCAGCTCCGCGTCTGCAGCGAAGTGAAGAGCTTGGAGATCTCACGACCACCTGGGCTGCAAGTGAAGCGAAGCGCCGGAGGGGTCTACGGTTTAGGGTTTCGGGGTTTAGGGGTTCAGGGTTTCAGGGTTTAGGGTTTAGGGTTTAGGGTTCTAGGTTTGGGGTTTGGGGGTCAGGGTTTGAGTGTTTAGGAATATGGTTTACGGGTTTAGGGGCTTTGGGGTTCAGGGGTTAAGGGGGTACAGAAGTAGACTCGGGCGGCTACTTCCCTGCACATGCGGGTTGCCACACGCCAGAATTATAAGGGATCTAATTTTCAATGCCCGTGAAACCGCAAAAACGACATGCTAAACCCATCGCAAAAGCTAATCGCAAGCAAGCGGACCAAACGCATCATTCAAACCTCCGGAAGCCCAAGAGGAGACAACACACGACGCGCCTACACAAAAGCCAGACCCACCAAAATCCCGATACAGGGGTTTGGGCTGTCTGCGACTTGCTTGGAGGTAACCAATAGGGGCCTTACTGTAATCAGCCTTAGTCATTAGATTAGAACAGGGCTTTGGGGTATATCGTACCCTACTTATCATAAGGAACCCTCAAAAATAGTATTGGTACTTATTTAGGCCCCTATATTATGCCTTAAGGGCTTACCGGGAAACCCCCGACCGAGTGAGGCACTGAAGCCGTTGATGCGCGAAGCCACAATTGCCATTGCCGCTTCGTCCACCTCCTCCTCCCTGGGCTTCCACGGAAAGTACACCGAAGTTTCGTTTCGAGGTGCCGTGCAAGCCCAAGTTCTGTGGAAAAGAGCGAAGACTTGAAAGGCGTGCTGGACATGCACATGAATCCTAAACTCTATGTCGCTGCTAGGTGCTTGCAAAAAGCTGTTGCTTGGTCGAGATCTCGAAGGTATGGAAAAAAAGGTGTTCGGATTCGCGTTTGGGACTTGCAGTTTGTTGGGGCGGTGATGCCCGACCTCCTCAATTCTGCGACCCGTTGCTCTTTGTCGTTCCACCTGTAACTTCTATGCATCTATCTATGTGTCTGCCTGGCAACTGGCATCTCTGATTTGCTGTCTCTCTAACTACCTCCTGTCCATTCCCACCACCCTAAACCCTCAACCCTAATCCCTCAACCCGAAACTCTTAATCCTAAACTCTGAACCGTACCTGTCCCTGTGCTTCTGGGCTGGTAAACCTGGCCTTTTCAAGCTCGGCGAAGCCGTATCAAATCTAGGATTCGCATAATATCGGGGCCTTAACAAATAGAAAAGAGTTTTGGTGTGTATTATACTATGGTCATGATAAGGAACCCAAAAAAAAGAGTTGCAAGTATGGCGTTTCTGTATTGCACACCTCTCTAAACTGACTGTGAATCTGCCATCGAATCTATCTGTCCATGAGGCCACCATGCATCATGGAAAGACCGCAAAAAAAAAACTAAAAAGGAAACCCCACACACGAAATCCTTTGCAGTATTCCTGAGTGTAACCGTTCTAGAACACTTGTAGTAAACCTTAAAAACCGTTATAGAAAAACCTTTTAGAACCCTTTTACTAACCTTTGTATAACCCGTTGTAGTAACTTAGAATCCGTCGTAGTAACCAGAGGCCCTACACCAGTAACCCTAAACCCTGAACCGTAAAGCCCTAAATCCCAAACCCTATACCCTAAAAACCCTAAATCCCAAACCCTAAACCCTAAACCCTGAACCCTAAAAACCCTTAAACCCTATACTAAACCCAAAACCCCAAGCCCTAAACCCTAAAAACCCTTAAACCCTAAACCCCAAACCCTAAACCCTGAACCCTTGACCCTAAAACCCTAAACCCCAAACCCTAAACCCTTGACCTGCTGTGCGCCTGGGGATCTGCAGCGGCTTCGGACTGCCGGGGAGCCTTGAGAAAGCTGGGATTCTTGACCCGGGTCAGGCTTTGGGGCTTAGGGCCTAGGGCTTCGGGCTTATGGGCTTTAAGGTTTAGGGTTTGGGACTTAGGGCGTAGGGGCTTTAAGGTTGAAGGTTCAGGGTTTTGCTTTTAATCTTTACGCTTTTGGGTTTGGTCATTGAGGGTTTAAGGTTGAGCGATCAGGGGGAGGGGAGGTTGCGGCTGTTCGCGGCTAGGCTCCTGGTGTGCCAGCTGCGGTTTACTGCGGATTGGGTTTACGGTTTAGGGTTTAGCTTGGCTTTACTGGCACATCCGAATGTGGAGAGCGCCGGCAGAAGGTTGCTGCTTGGGAGCGCCCTTGCTTCAAGCCTGGTCGTCCGGGGTTGAGGGTTTAGACTCCACTTAGGGTTTGGGGTTTGGGGTTCAGGGTTTAGGGTTCAGGGTTGAGGGTTTAGGGTCCAGAGCACACGGCAGCCGCTTCTTTGGTAGGCTCCAGTTTCGCCATCTTGAATCCTTGGCTTGTTGGCTGAAGTGGTTGGCATTTCCTGGGCTGGCATGCTTGTCGGTTGAAGGTTTAAGGGTTTTCGCGCTTCTCGAGAAGCCCAAGCCCATTCCCCCAGAATCCCTAAATCTCGCGCAAGAACCTAAACCCTCAAACCTTCAACCCTAGACCAATCCTCGGCCACACGTCCTGAAACCCCTGGCCCATGCCTCATGCCTCTTGGCCCTCAAACTCTCACGGTGAAAGGATGACGAACTGCAAAAGGATACTATGAATATAAGGATTTAGGGTGCGTGTTTCTTTTATGTATGGGTGTCGGGCTTAGGGTGTAGGGTTCACGGATAGGACCATGGCCCTCGCGTTTTCGCGCTACGCCCGCGACGGCGTGCTGCTGCCCCAACCGGACCCCTGGGCCGCTGACCGCCTCCGAAGTCCATTCGGCTGGTCCCTGGGCGGTGGAGTTTAGGGATTAGGGTTCCGGGTTTCGGGTTTCGGG